TTTCCAGCAGGAGGATTTCGACGTCGAGGCGGCCTTGCCAGAAGATCTACTCGAGGAGGCGCCAGGGCCCCCGACACCGTTGGCGGTCAGAGCAGCGGCGCGATCCTTCAAGGCCAGCACAGCGACAGGAGTGTACTGCATCAAGCCGCACCACTTCGGATGGCTGTCGGACCAGGGTACCTGGGCGATCTGTCTGCTGCTCCACCTTATCGAGCTGAGGACGGAGTTCCCGACGCAGGTGGCCGAGGTTTTCATGTTCGTTTAGGCCAAGCCCGACGGGGGCTGGCGGCCCATTGGCCTCATCGCCTCGCTCATCCGCCTCCTAGGCAAGGTTAGACACGGCGAGGCGAAGCGCTGGGAGGCAGAGAAGGATAGGCCCTGTCTTCGGTGGCGCTGGACGGTCCTGTGAGGACGCGGTTTGGCTGCAGAGTTTCGACGTCGACCACGCCAATGCCATGGGCTTGGTGGCAGCCACGGCGCTGCTCGACCTCAGCAAGGCCTACGAGAGGGTCACGCACCGAGGTCTGGTGCACGCAGCAGTACGCGAGGGCTTCCCGCTGAGGAGGGTCAAGTTGCTCCTCGAGCTCTACGGGGGCAAGAGGCGCCTCGGCTTGGACCGCTGGAAGACGGAGGCTTTCCAGGTGGACCTCTGCCTCCTGGCGGGCTGTTCCTTCGCCACGACGCTGCTGAGGGCGGTGCTGATTCAGCCGATGGACGCCATGTTAGCCTCCTGGCAAGCTGTGCGGCCGTACCTCGTCGTGGACGACATCACACTGGCGGCGCACGCCAAACGGGCGCAGGTAGAGCACATTCTCGTCGGGGCCACCAGAGCGACGTGCCAAGCACTGGAGACCATCGGCTTCACGATCTCTGCGACGAAGGGCCAGATCCTCAGCACGGACCAGGAGCTGGCCTCGCGGGTGGCAGCCGGGCTCAAGCGTTGGAAGTTTGTGCGAGTCAAGGCCACGAAGAACCTGGGTATGGATTTCACGATGGTCACGACGGCTTCTTGGAGAGTCCTTCGCCACAGGATCAACCGTCTGCGGATGAGGACGGGCCGATACATGGCCCTCCGCAAGGCGGGGGCCAAGCGCCTCTCCAGGGTCTTCAGGACGGGAGGCCTGGCGACCATCCTGCACGGAGCGAGGGTCAGCGGGCTGCCGCCGCAGGCACTGCAGCGAACCAGGGCCGCGAATGGGCGCGCATTGACAGGGGAGGTCGGCCACAAGTCTCGTACTGTCCTTTTCGCGCTGCGGGAGGGCAAGGACTGGAAGCACGACCCCGCGTACGCGGCGCACATTCTCCCGCTGAGAGCATGGTCGAGAGCAGTATTCCCCCAGGCAAGGCCAGCGGCGGCGTTCAGGAAGGTGCGAATGAGAAGCCCGACAACTGGGGCGCGGTCACGGGGCCAGCGGGCGCGGCGTGGCTCACGCTGGAGCGGCTGGGCTGGCGCCTGCTAGACTGGAGTCACTGGGAGGACGACCGCGGCCATGTGCTGGACCTGCAGGCGTACAGCCCGCGCTTGGTGGCCAGCCTGGTGGAGGGCGGTGCCCACCGCTATCTCATGAGGCGCGTAGCTGGCCACCGTGGGTTCGAGCACCTGCGAGGGCGACCCCCAGACCTCGAGCCATTCAGGGCAGCGCTGGCAGGCATGAGGCGCGACGGCCTGTCGCAAGACGCGTCGCTCCTGGAAGCCCACATGGCAGGCGGACTGGTCACCCAGTGCGACCTCTACGAGGAGAGGGTGGCACTATCCCCGCTGTGCCAATGGTGCGGGGCTGCGCCTGGCTCGGCGCACCACAGGTTGTTCACATGCCCTGCCATCGCGAGCTGGGCCGACGACCTCGGCTTCCCGCAGGTCGCCGCTGCAGGCAGGAACGCACCAGAAAACGACCTAGGCATGGTCAGAGGGCTGTTGAATCTGGGTCTGGATCAGGCGCCGTTGCCGAGCATGGAGGAACACTGCCACCGCTCGGGCATCGCGAGGCACGGCTACTTCGAGGGCGTCATCTGCATCGACGGCTCTGCGATGTACCCCGACGTCCCGCGTTTGACCAGGACGGGATGAGCAGCAGTGATGATCGACGGAGTTGGACACCCGCGTGGCAGGATGTATGGCTGCACTCCAGGCTGGATCCAAGAGATCGGGTACGCAGAACGGTATGCGCTCTGGCGAGTGCTGCAAGAAGCAGGTCCAGGGCCCATCGTGGTCTACACGGACTGCAAAGGTATCAAGGACGACATGGAGAGAGGCAGGCAGCATAGCCGTGGGCCTGGCAACGAGTACGCGGACATATGGCGGTGCATCTTCGAACGGCTCGACGACCTCGGCGAGGGCTTCCTGGAGTTGCACTGGGTGAGAGCCCACACCAGCTGGGCGGAGGCGTGCCGCGGAGGGGTCAGTCTCCAGGCGCACGCAGGCAACAAGGAGGCGGACCTGCGCGAGACGGACGGGGCCAGGCTCCACCCAGGCCAGGCAGCGCTGAGCGAGCTAGCGAGGCGCAGTGAGGCCGCCGCCGTCACTGCTTGTGCCTGGTGCAGGCACCACGGGGGGGGTCCTGAAAAGGCTTGCCGACCTGGGGTGGCCCGACAGAGACCCCCTTCCCTGGTCCTCGGGCCCAAGGCTCTAGCGGCCTCATTTTGGAACGGCCTGGTAGAGGCCACCGTCTCGCCAGGCTTGGTAGGGCCTGGAGGTGTGATGTTTGCGGGGTCCGTGGTGCCTCGAAGGCCAGGGTCGGTTCCAAGGCTTGCCCAGGACTCCCCAGATTGGTTGCCCAGTCCCACCCGTCCCTTAGGCTGTGGGTGACTCGGGGTGGGGGTGGCGGTCTTGGGAGCAGGCCCCATGGAACGGGTGGAGACACGTTGGCGTTCTGCAGGACGTGCGGAGCCTACGGGCGTAGGCAGGCGCACCTCCTCACCGAGCTGTGTGCTCCCCTGGCCAGGAAGGGCCGCGATGCGGCCAGGCTGGCTCGGGAGGCCCTCGATCGCCTAAGAGCTGGTCGTGAACCCCAGAAGGGGGGCTTTCTGGGGCGCCCCTTTTCCCGTCTCGCGGGCTGCTGCGTTGCGGAGGAGGAGGGAGGGGGAGGGGGAGGGGGAGGGGGAGGAGGAGGAGGAGGAGGAGGAGGAGGAGGAGGAGGAGGAGGAGGAGGAGGAGGAGGAGGAGGAGGAGGAGGAGGAGGAGGAGGGGGAGGGGTAGGAGGAGGAGGAGGAGGAGGAGGAGGAGGAGGAAATGGGGGAGGAGGAAATGGAGGAGGAGGAGGAGAAGGATCAAGAAGGCGGAGCAAGAAGAAGGATGAGCAAGAGGAAGGAGAGCCAGCCCCCCTGCATCCCCTCCCCTGGGGTTCGCCGCCGAGCCTTGTCCTCCGCGCGCTCGACGTCCGCCCCGCGCTCCCCGAGGGCCCGCAGCGCGCACAGGGCCACGTCCGCCGCGAGCTCCCGCGCCGGCGGCCGCTCCACGGGGCGGCCGTCCACCGCGAACCTGTCGCGCCGCGTCTCCTCTTCTGACGAACGAACAACACACACACACACACACACACACACACACACACACACACACACACACACACACACCAATACCCACAGGAGGGTCGGAGGGAGGAGGACTGCCTACGGAGATGGGTGCGGGCTGTCGGACCCGGGGGGGGCTCCCGTTCGAACGGGGGCCCACGTCCGACAGCACGCACCCACAGCCCCCTCCGCCCCCCTAGGGGCATGGGCGCGTGCTGTTCGTTCGTCCTCTTCGGGGGCCCCCTGTTCTCCCCGAGCTCGGGGCGACCACCTGCGTGCTCCGCGTGCCGCGAGGCGCGAAGCGCGGCGCGCGCTCGCGCGCTCGCGCGCACTCGCGCCGCCCCCCCCCTTCCGCCCGCCCCTCGCTGTCGCCGCGGGCACGTCGCCCAGACCGCGCAGCGCGAGGCGCGAGCGGCTCTTCGCACCCTCGTGGTGGCCTTTCCCCGAAGGCAGCGTTTGCACCTTAGGACCTCTCGCTTCTCAGGAGCTGGGCGAGCGGTGTCGGTCTGGCGGCTGTGTCGCAGCCGTCCGTTACCCCCCCGTCGCCGCCTCGTCGCCGTCCCGAAACTGTCGCGCCTCGTATCCTCTTGGGGCCTGTCTTCTTTTGAACGCAACCGTTGGTTATGACGGCGGTTTTTGGCCAGCGGCCCCGAGCCGCGTTCTCGCCCTCTTGTACCTTCCCTGCTCCTCTACGCAACCCTCTGCTTTGGACGCCCGAAATGGGCACGAAGAAAAAGGGCACGATGCCCAACAACGCAGGTTGTCGAACACCGACAGCGGCCGCTGTTGGGCAGGAGGCCTTCTGTCTCGAGTGGCCAACGACCGCGGCGACAAGTCAAGTCAGGTCAGGTCAAGTCACTTCGCTCGCACGAGGGCGGGCCCATATAGGGCGCGAGGATAAACAAATGCCAGTCACTATTCATGCCTTGTGCGCAAGGGGAAGCAAGCAACGCGCCTGCTCACGCCGACGTGCAGCAGCCCAGGAAATCTTCTGCCATGTCCACCCATGCCTGGAATGCCCAAGAACAGCTCGGAATGCACAAGCACTGCTGTTGGACACTGTGCCCTTTGCTTCCGTACTCATTTCGCTCGCCCCGACCTGTGCTCAAATCGTTCCTTTCCCTGGCGGTCGTGGCCGACGCCAGGGGCCTTCCGAGGTGCCTCCGCCGTTCGGGGCGGGCCGGGCGTAGCCACAAAAAGCTCGGCCGAGGGGCGGCCCCGTTCTCCCACGGGCAGGGGGCCGAGGCGCGGCGCTGCCGGGGCGGCGGTGCGCGGGCCTCGGGCGGGAACCTCGCGCGCGCGAGGGGGTGGAGCGGCTGCCCGAGGAGGCGGCGCGAGGAGTGCGCTGCCCGGGCGACGATGGAGTACACCACCCCGCTGGACTGCGTCGTCGCCTCGCCTGCGGTGGCCGCGGCGAGGTGGCTCGACGCGTCCCTGGGCTGCAGGCTCCTGAGCGGCTTCGCAGCAGAGGTCCAGTTCCAGCACGTGCCTCGTGATGACCAGGAGAGCGATGTCGACCGCGATGGGACTCAGAGTTTCGACGCGGAGGCGGTCCACCCCTCGGGCGGGAAGCCTGAGGAGGAGAGCTGCGAGGAGGGTGATGTTGCTTGTGAGAGCCCCCCCCAGACCAGCAGAGGGCCACACGACTGACCGAGGAGATGGAGGCCCCCCAGGAGAGGGTTCCCGCCCTTGCCAATCCCGAAGACTGGGAGGAGAAAGATGCGGCTGCCGCTTCACCTTCGCCTCTACCCTCGCGCACCGGCCCGCAGGTGGTCTACTTGTTTGTCTCTGTTATTTGAAAACTTCACACTTGAATAACCGCGCGCTTACTGCCGGAAACCTGGCTCAGTGGCGGCAGTCGTGCCCAAGCGCCGTGCCTAGGGTTGGCGCCTGGCTTCAGTACTTGTACTATCACGACGAGGGCATCCGCAGGGAAGAGGAGTCCAGGGCAAGTGCGGAGGAGCTGCCCATGATAGCGGGAGGTGGCCCCCCAGAGGACCCTCCCGCACAGGAGCCTGCTCAGCCAGCACCTCCCCTGCGGCGCGGCAAGGGCAAGAGCTCGCCCAGCCCCGCTGAGGATACCAGCGGTGAGGAAGGCTACGCGGGATGGCTCAAAACAATGTTAGCGAAGTATCTGAAGTGGTTCGGGGAGAAGCTCGGGTACACGATCGACGCCCTGCTGAGTCAGTTGATCCATTTCATGGTCGGCCTGGTCAATGCTTTCGGCCAGTACCTGATAGGACGCTGTTGGGCGCGCCTTACATACGCGGCGGTGGCATCGACGGCCGCCCTCATTGTCATGATGTTCTGGTCAGTCATCGGCCGAATTGCGAGCTACAGTTGGGCTCTGTACCAGGCGGTTTCGGGCTTCGCCAGGTGACACGGGCGTGGACTTGCAGCTCGCACTAACCTTAGGTCGGGCATGTCCCCCTACAGGCCGATTTTGGACGAAAAATTGAGAATAGTCGAAAAATTCCCCCAAATAGTCAAAAATGGTCAAAACATCGTTCCCAGGCTATTTTTTGACTATTCTTGAATATTCCTCCTGTAGAAGGACACACCCGACATACGACTAACTGGTTCCGAGGAGGAGGAGGCCTTGAACTGGCCCAGCCCAGGCGGCCAGCATCCGTTCCCGGCCGAGTGCGTTTACTGCCCAAGGACTTGCTCGCGCGGTCTGGAGGCGCGGTTGCCAGGTTGGAGCGAGGACCGCTGCGGGACGTCGGACGACGCGACACGGCTACGTACTTGGAAGGACGCTGCGAAGGGTAGGGTCCTGCTGCGCACCGACGTCCTGCTCAGCAAGGTAGGGGGCGCACTCATGCCGAGGGTACCTACGTAAGCAGAACCCTGACCACACCATGAACGATAAGGACTGGCTGATATGGGATGGTACCGTGCCAAACCAGAAGTGCCCAAAAGAGAGCCACCCGCCCGCGGAACAGCCGAGAGGTGAGGACCTGGATCAGACTCTAATGGAAGGCCCGGATGCCGGGGATCGACCTCTACATCGCGAAGAAAGACGTGAAGGACGCCTTCCGTTGGGTGGTCATGCACGAGTTGGACGCGTGCACCTTCGGGCGCGACCTTGAGGGAGGAAAGTGGGGAGTGGCCACACTGATCACGGCGGTGTGCATTGTGCTGCCCTTTGGTTGGACAGGCAGCCTGGGAAAATGGATGATATGGGCGTGGGTGGCCAAGTTATACCACTCAGCCTTTCGACCGTCGGACGAGCGATGGAATGATGTCGCCCCCTTCCGCAGCGCTTTCCTCATGGACGACCAGGTCCTTGTCGAGCCCGATATGGGTGCGAGGACGAGCCAGAGAGGCGAGACGGCCACCGAAGACATATGGGCATGCCTGGGGGAGGAGGCGATGAACGAGGATACGGTTTTTCTCCGAGAACACCTGATGATGAAAACTGCTGCCATCTTCCCAACTGACGGGGCGATGACTCCACCATGCAAGCATAATCAGAGAAGGCGGTCGGGACCGAATCTCGGGCAGTGCAAAGTGTTGGCCAGGCCCACCCAGTCGTGCGACGACGACGAAACCCAGGAGAAGTACCAGGAGGAGGAGGAGAAGTACCAGGAGGAAGGAGGTCGGGAGACCACCAAGATATGCTGGGGGCTGCTGTGCCACACGCGGGCGGGCACCACAGAGGTGCCGCAGCCCAAGATCGAGGCGGCCGCGCAGCTGCCGGCCGACCCGGCCCTGACCTTCGGGCGCCCCCCCTGGAATTTCGCGGAGGCCCCCCCCCTGGAATTTCGCGGAGGCCCCCCGAGGAAGCCAGCAGTACTGGACCCTCGTGCTGCCCGCCAGGAGGAGCATCGTCGGATTCACGGACGCGATCACGAGGGGCAAGCCGCGCAGCTGGGCAGGTCCGAGAGCTGAGGATGAAGGAGGCGCCCTGATCGGGCTACGGGGGAGGAAGCAGGCGACTTGGTCTGGACTGAAGGAGGGACATCTGGCAGGCTACTGAGGTGGCTCGCGTTCTGACGGCGGACAAGAGCGAGCCCCAGACCCCCGACGCCATGACTTCTGCCATAACGTCGACCCTCAGAGGTCTCGACCCTTTCCCCTGGACCAGTGTTTCACCCTGAGTCGTTGTTTGACGCTCCCGAGGCCCGGTAAAGGCCCCCGGAAGCCGAACAAGTAGCGGCGAAAAGCCTCCCGCCATGAGTTTTGTCATTGCCCGAGGGGCTCTGGGGTGGAAGACCAGAAACGTCGCCGCGCTGGAGGGCACGCTCACTGTCAACGAGACCCCGGCTCTGCCAGGATCGACCCGCCGTGTCATCTGGGCCACCCGGGGACGCGGCGCCCGGACGCTCCCATCGCCACGGCAGACCGGGGCAACAACAGGTGCTCGTTCCACGACGTCGAGGCCTTTGGTGTGTGGAGCTCCTCGAGAAGCCATGGTCGTCGAGGAGGACGAGGTCATCATCGCCGTCGCCGAGTTCCTGAGCCTGGTGACCTTGGCCGCGAAGGCAGGGCCGCGGGTTGGTGGGCAGCAAGTGTGGTCATGTATGGGGGAGAGAGCTACAAACTGCACTGCTGGATCCAGAGCAGGCGGGCCCGCAACCGCGACGCGAGCTTCCCCATCACGGTGACCACGTGCCTGGAGGTCGTCGATGGTTCCGGGGTGGCCAGCTTGTACTTCGAAGACCCATCACAGCGTCACGGCCGAGCCCCCCTCTCCCGAGTCCAGGTCGCAGAGGCGAGGCAGCTCGCGGATGAGAAGGGCCTGGAGGTGATCGACTTGGCTTCAGGCTGGTCGGAGCATCTGATACGCGGGTGGCTGCACCGCGCCCGACCGAGTGTGGCACGGGCCGGAGGCTCCCGCCCGACAGGTGGCGCTGCAGCTTGCGAACGGTCGGAGAGGAGGTCTCGGCCGGCGCGGGAGCCTGGCCCCTGCCCACCGGGGCGGCGGCCCCCGGCGAGTGGAGAGGTGCGCTGGGGTGTCTGAGCAGGACCCGGGCGAAGACAGGAGCGGTGCTGTGGGTGGCACCGGCGCCAAGGCGGGGACCCGGGCTCCACGGCGGGGCATGGCGCCCGGATGGTCGCAGAGCGGACATCGTGGCCGCGTCCCTCCGCAAGGAGTTCGCCCTCCGGGCGAGAGCAGAGCCCAGCCATGCAGCGCCCAGACGTGCATGCGCGGTCCCCGGAAGTCCCGACCCGTGCCCCGGGACTGGTCTCGAGGCCCGGCGAGGGCCCCCAAAGGCCGAAAATGGCCAAAGGCCTCTGGTCCTGACTCTCTTACGACGCGATCGTGCCTGGGGAGGTGGCGGTGGCGGACGCACCCAGGACGGCCGTGCTTCGGCCCGACAGGACCCGCCCAAGAGCAAGCAGGCTGTGGCTGGGAGGGGGCCGAGGTCGCCGGCTCGTGCCGTGGTGGCGCAACAGCGAGGAGGAGAGAAAGCCTGTGGTGGCCGTCCCAGGGCAGCGGGAGGAGCCTGGAGGCCGCCTCGCTCGTCCTCGTCCTCGTCGTCGTCGTCGTGTCGCCGCTTTCTCTGAGGGAGCGGCGCCAAGCATAAGGAGCTGCCTGGACAAGACCGGGTCAAGGGCGGTGCCGTGGCCCAGCCAGGGGGGGGAGAACCTGGTGCCTGACCCTCGGGATGCCGAGGCTAGGAGGACCCGACGGCCCGAGACCGTGCGGTCACTGGGGTCCGAGACAGGGAGGGCGCGGAGGAGACGGTGTGCGACGCGGAGGGCCCTGCCCTGGGGCTGCGGGCGAGCGCCGCGGGCGTGCAGCCGCGCGAGCGGGCCTTGGTCATGGGCTCGAAGGATCCCCTGGGAGTGACACAGCTGGGAGCTGAGGAGACTTGGCGGCTGATGGGTGGGTCGGCCGCTGTGATGGGGAGAGTCCTCAGTGACGGCGTGGACGAGCAGGCATCCATTGGAGAGGCGCTTCGGGGAGCCCCGCCAGGGCCAGCAGCCACCATGATCGAGGAGGCCTTGAGACTGGAGGGAGACGCGGCAGCCGGAGCCCCCAAAGCAGGAGTGTGCAGCACGGGCGAGGAAGAGACGGCGCGGGCTCGTGTGCGGACGTGGCTCAGGCCCTGGCGCAGGCGGGACTCGGGCGCGACCGAGAAGGCGGCAGGATGCAAAGAGGGAGAGGTTGAGGAGCTGAGTGGTTCGATGAGCTGCTCGACGCAGAGAGGATGCGGCTACAGCCAGCGTCCGTGGCAGACCAGTGTGCGGGATGCAGCCGTGCCCGTCGCCCAAGGGGAGGCGAGGAGGAGCCGTGGCGGCGGCCCTGACGGGACGCAGCGGGGCACCCGCCCCCTTCGGCGCTGTGGCGGCGGCCCTTTTTTTGACCTCTACAGATCCACCGCATAGTGCAACCAGCTGGCAGGGCGGGACCTGCAAGCTGTGAGGAAAGAGGCGGAGCACTCGGATGCGTGCGGCGGAAGTGCCGCCGGAGCGGCGCCGCAGGGGGGGCGGGCGAGCGGCGCGGCTCGCACGGCGGAGTTGGAGAGGCATCGCGTCGGCGTCAGGAGGGCCGCCAACTTGGCGACGTGGGGTGCGGCGTGCCGAAGCCCAGCCGCACGTGGCGACCGGCTGGAGCCCGAGGGCGCACGAGCTGCCGCGAGTGCCCCCCCCCCGCGCGCCGCCCCAGAGCACGAGAGGAGGAGGCAAGCCGCCGCGGCCGGGCGCTGCGGCTGGAGCTCTCTGCGCCAGACACTGGCCCTCGAGGCGCAGGATGCGGAGAAACAAAAATGTGAGCCACTCCCGCCTTTCCTCCTCCTGCCTGTGTGGGCGGCCTGCGCGTGCACGAGCGCTCCGCCCGCCTCCATGGGGCGTGCAAGCCCTTGGGGCAAAACGTATTCGTTAGTTATACCGGCGGGCTTTGGCAAGTGGGCCCGAGCCGCGTTTTCGCCCTCTTGTCCCTTCCCCGCTCCTCTCCGCAACTGCCTGTGCTCAAGTCCTTTCTGGCCCCTAGGGAGGCGGGTAGGCGCTGCAGCGCACGTGCGCATCTCAGTGTGCAACCCAGAAAAATGGTTTACTGAATCAGTCCACTTGGTTATCCCACGGCCAACCCTGCGAGAGCTTTCTGGACGCAAATGGGAAGAGTTAGGGAGGACACGGGAGGACCCAAAGATTCCAGAAGCGCTGTATTTTTCATAAGGGCTTCTTCCCAATCCTATAATAACAACAGATATGTGGTATCCACAGGCGCTTCATTTTTTCATACGGATTATTTCTAGCATTATATACATTAAGAGTTTTCTGCTGCACACGGATGCTGTGGTTCTGAACACAGGCGCTATAGTGCACGCAGGCACTGTGGTGTACACTGGTGCTGTGTTTCACACGGCTGATGTGGTGTACGCAGGCGCTGTGGTGTACACAAGCGCTGTGGTGCACGCAAGCACTGTGGTGCACACTGGCGCTGTGTTGCACGCGGCTGCTGTGGTGTACACAGGCGCTGTGGTGTACACAGGCGCTGTGGTGCACGCAGGAACTGTGGTGTACACCCAGTCCCCCCTTCCCATCTGATCGCGTCACGAGTTGCGCACAAACGCCGTGTGGGAATTGGCCATGTTTGAGCATTCCCAGACGGCGCCGTCGCGAATCGTGACGTGACCGCCCCCCCCACCTCCCCGGGTCACCCCCGTTATCGCCAGGGGAAATAAAAAAACGGTCGCTGGAGGTTCCCTGACAGTGGAAGCATGTTGTTTCCAACCAGCGTTTCCCGACGTTTTCGGACGTTTCCGTCGGCTCTCGGACGTTTTCCAGCCTCGGGATGCTTCTCAGCGGCTGCGCCCCGTCGAGAGCGTGCCGGTTGTGCCCAGATCGTCCCGAACGGCCGCCGGACGGCCGAGCTATGGCCCGAACACTGACGGTATGATTTGAACTGTGCAGCGATAGACCGTGCATTGTCCTCGAAGTCCCCAAAGACCCCGCCGCACGGTCCGTCACCGCACGGTCTTGGGACCCCGGAGGCCCCAGTCGCCCGAGACGTCCTCGGAGAAGGACCCAGGTCCCAAAACCGGGAGGTCTACCCGAATCCCCACTGGCTTGCCACACGGTGTGGTCACCGCACCGTCTGGGAGGCCCCAGTCCTTGTCCACCTGCCCGAGCGTGGGGACCCGGAAGGCCACCGCCTCCTGCGCCCCCGGATCGCGGCTGTTCCTCAGCTGGTCCAGCATCCACTCCGCGGGGACGACCATCGTCTCGTTGATCACCGACTCGACCGCCTGGGCGTACCCCTGGACGGATGACGCCGCCTGCAGCCTGCCGTGGAACTCGCGGATCTTCGACCAGCTCTCTGTGATCTGGGTGGCCTCCTGCACCATGAGCACCCACCTCCTGCACTCCAGCTCGTCGGGAGCGTGCAGCTCCCAGCTCCCGTACCTCTGGAAGGCCTCTCTGGGCCTGGGCGTCTCCTGCAGAGGTCCCTGGAGGTCCCCGGAGGGCTCGAGGGGCCTCCGGGGAGCCCGGAGAGGGGCGCGAGAGACGCCGGAGAGCCCAGGGTCGGCCCTCGACCCTCGAGGGCCCCGCGGGCACTCCTGGTCCGAGCTGCTGCCCACGGGCCTGTAGATGGTGAAGAAGTGGCGGTTGCGCCAGCCCCGCTCCGCGGGGCCGCAGACGCAGCCCAGCAGCTCCACGCTGCAGTCGGGGGAGCACCCGGCGGCCTCCGCCTCCGACCTGCTGCCGAAGAACTGCAGGCGCTGCCGCCGGAGCACGCACCAGACCTTCTTCGAGGGCTTCGTGGAGCTCCACCTGTAGCGGAGCTCCCCCTCCTCGGGGCTCTGAGCAAGGGTTCCGTAGTCAAGGGTGCGTTGGGGAGGGGGCGAGGTTCAGGGCCCCGAAAACGGGGACGCCGGTAGGCCAGGGCCCTGGCGCAGCCCAGACAAACCGCGGCCAACCGTGGCAGCTCTCTCCAGCCTGCGCTGTCTCCCACTGGATTTGGCAAAATCATAGTTTGAAACGTCCTGGCTTCCGGGGCATTGCGGAGGAGGAGGAGGAGGAGGAGGAGGAGGAGGAGGTGGAGGAGACGGACCAGAGTAAACCCAAGATGCACTAACGATGCTGCAATACACCCTCCAGTCCCAAGTCCCCTCCTCGCAAGCCCCTAGAACTGTGGGGAGCGCACACTCGAAAGACCAGCATCCTATGGGCCCACCATTAAAGCGAAAGCCACGTTTCGAGAAAGGACTGCCTGGCATCCTGCTAGGGGATGTAAAGGGCTGCGTGAATGAATGACCACACAGCCTGACGAGGCGTTCAGAGAGATCCCCGATTTGGTTAAAGGACCACCCCCATGCAGGTCGTAGCTGCTGCACAAGCTTGCACCCCAAGCCATGAGCGCCATTGAAAGCCGAAGCGGTAACCAAAGTTTGAAACAGAGAACCGCCGCGCCCTCCGTCCGTGCAGCTGCGACGCATGTATTGGTCGAAATGCTTGCCAGCGTGGACCCCAAGCAGTGAGCTACAGCCAAACATGTGATCAAGAAAGCTATCATGTAAGAAATCTGGGCCAGCTTCCTGCAGGGTTATCAGAAGAAACCTGGACCACTTTCTCCCGCTCACGCTGGAAGGGGTAGCGTGCTCAAGAGACTGGGCAAGCTTTCCGGCAAGTTGGTTGAGAAACGCTGGCCCAGCTATTCGGGAAGAGGTTTCTTAATCAGGTGCCCGACTGTATTTCACAATGAATGTGAAAGATCCGCCACCGTGCCTTCAGCACGTTGCGGAGTCCCCCAAGGCTCACGCAGCCCTGAGACGTACTGGGTTTCTAAGTTTCTTCTAGCCCGGAAGCCCGGTTCCCAGGTGCTCTTGGGCGCTACCAGGCACGCCCGGGGTGTTCCGCGCGGGCCTGGGGCGGTGACCCCGCCCAAAAACGACCCGAAGCGAAACAAAGAATTCGCCAGAAGCGCCATCAGAGGGTCCAAGAGCGCCCCGAGACGGCCCCCAGACGGCCCCGAGACTGGCCACGATGCCCCTGCTCACCCACCCAGCGCAAGGAGCGCCCACCAGGCGCCCACGAGTGGCAACCGACTAGGCACCGCGCGAAATTCTGGCACACCTATCCTGCGAGTTAGATACCACAGTAACCCCCCCAGTACAAACACCGTGTGGGGAATACTTGAACGATCTGTCCAGCGAGAACTCTTTTAGCAAAGCAGCCGCCCCCCATTCCGTGCAACGAATTCATCGCACACTTCTGACCGCTAACGAGCTGACGACCTTCCCCAAACAACACCTCCCCCGCGACCTGAGTGCACTAAACAGGCCCGCGGAGGGAGTCAGGGAATCGGGGTCCTGCAGCGATGATCGGCTACACTGTCACGCAAGAGTGACCCCAGACAAAAGTGACCTCTCGTGCGCGGCGTGAGGGGGGCGCTGGGGGCCAAAGCCGAGCGCGCAGCCCCCTCCGATCCGATCGCATTCAGCCATCTGGGGACCCCAATGTGCCCGCACCGAAGATCACTCCGGCGAAAGGTCACTCTTACGTGCGGCCGAGATGGGAGTGAAGCCACCGAAGGAAGCCCTGGTCAGGCGCGTGAGTCGGCTCCGGCGAAGCCCTCGTCGGCATCTGGGCATGCTGGGCGCGTTTCGAGGCATGCTGTCCGCGTCGGCATGCTGGGCGCGTTTCGAGGGCCGCGCCCAACAGCGACCGATTTTTCTCGGCGCGTAAGACGGCCACCTTTGGGCTAAAATTGCGGGCTTGCGCCCACTTGCTCGCCCGCAGGCGATGAGGCGGTCGCGACACTTTTTTTCTCGCATACGACATACACGAGAGCCTTGACAAACTCGGACATGGCCAACGCACATGGCAGCAACGACGGCAACTAGAGCCATTATATCAGCAACGTCGGACACACGAGCTACATACATCCCACAGAACAGCCCCAAGGAACCAAATCGGCCACGGCGGCAACGCCAGCAGCAACGCTGACATAGAGTCACAGACAGTAGCTACGGCAGCCCAAGGGGCAAATTCAACTTCAACACCTACACCGGGCAGCACCTACATCATCTACATCAAGAAATTACACAAAACAATGCTGCATCGGCGCGAGGCACTGCCGCCTCTGCATCATCTCCAGCTAAAACAAAATCGGCCGTCTCAGCCACATCCGCTGAGCGGCACGGGCCATGTACGGCCGCTGCAGCAGCTATCGCAGCTGCAGCACCCGCCTTCGAGCACTCCACAGCCTCGGGGGACGCCCACAAGGCGCCCACGACTGGCCAAAACCTCCGCAGGCCGACGCGGCGCACGGAGCGCCATATAACGAGGCGCCCACGGGCGGCCACGGGCGGCAACGCGGCGAAACTTGGGCACACCCACGAGGGCCCCATGGCGGCAACGTGGCGAAACCCGGGCACTCTCACGAGCGCCGCCGGGCGGCCACGGGTGGCAACGTGGCGACATCTCGGCACACCCATCCAGCAGAAGGCGCGCCCACGAGGCGCCCACGTGGCAGAGCCTCGACGCGCCCCCGAGCCGCCCACGGGACGCAAGGTGACCAGATCTCGGCACACCCATTCCGCCCACGTGGGGCGCCGACAGGCGGACCCGGGCGGCAACTTGGGTGAAACCTTGGCACACCCACGAGGCGCCCACGGGCGGCCACAAGCGGCAACGTGGCGAAGCCACGGCGCACTCGGCCAACTCCTGAGGTGAGAGGAAAATCCCCTGAGTGCAAGCACTGGTTCGGGAAGGGATGCTCAAGACAGAACCCCATGTTGAACAGGAACCGCCCTCCATCCTTGTGACTGCTGCACGCACGGAGAACGAATGCGCGCAGCGTGAAAGCGAGAGCCCCAAGTCTAAGCCACCCGCCCTCGATCATTCTTAGCTGCTGCAGATTAAGAAAACGAGTGTGATCGGCGCTCAGGCGGGAGCTCCATTTTGAGAATGGGCCACCCCCTATCCTTAGGTCGGGCGTGTCCTCCTACAGGGGGATTTTGGACGAACAATTGAACATACCCTCAAAATACCCCCAAAGTGGTCAACAAATACTAAAAAACATCGCCCCCTGTCTATTTTTTGTGATGTTTGAAGATTCCTCCTGTGGAGGGACAGGCCTGACTGAACCCTATCCTTGTGTTTGCTGGACCTCGCAAGCTGCATGATCATAGCTTCTGAGACTGTCTCGGGCGCAACGCATGGCCCGCCCTACCAGCACGTGCGGAGGACAGACCGGGAGGAGCACACTGCAAGGAGAAGGGGCGGAGGAGGAGGAGGAGGAGGAGGAAGAAGAGGAAGAGGAGGAGGAGGAGGAGGAGGGGGGGAGGACGGGGAGGTTCAGGATGAGGAGAAGAAGGATGGGAGGAGGAGGAGGAGGAGGAGGAGGAGGAGGAGGAGGAGGAGGAGGAGGAGGAGGAGGAGGAGGAGGGGGAAGCAAGACGCTGCGTAGCGAGAAACGTCAGAAACGTCAGGAGGGGGAAGGCGGGAAAGGAGAGCCCCTCCAGACCCCCTCGATCGGCCAGGCTGGGCGCTCCCTCTGTGGCACGGCGCCGTCACAAAGCACCCTGGCGATGGGGGACACCCTTCTGTGTCGCCCGTCCTTGAAGATGCCTGGGGAGACAACAAAAAATACCGACACCCTTCGACCTGCACCTCCCGCGCCTCCCGCGCAGAAGGTGCGGAAACTGCAGGTCGAGGGGCCGCCAGTCCCCTGACCGCTCCCGGGGCACGCTCGAAGTACACCCTTGCCATGGCTCGGACGTCCACCCCCCGTGCGTTCTTCGGCTTCGCGCCCTCCTCCTGCGCAAGATGACCCGAGATGCTCCTCGATGCTCCTCGCCGAGACAAGCGCACGCGTCCGAGCGATGCCGAGGGCCAGCACCTCGGGGCGCTGCCGGCCCAGGCGAGGAGGGGTTCGGGCAGCGGCATCGGCACCCCTTCCTCCTCCGAACGGCCTCCCGAGTCCCTCTCGAGGACCAGGTTCCTCCCGAGCTCGCCCCTCTTCGACTACAATCAAGAATGACCCTAGGCAAGAGTGACCCTTGGTGCGCGGCGTAGCGGGGGACGAGGGGTGGCCAAGCCTGGGCGCGCAAGCCGCTGCGAACGCTTCGCGTTCGGCGATCGGGGGAACCTACGTGGGCCCGCACCAACGGTCACTCTGGCGAAAGGTCACTCTTACGTGTGGTCGACCTCTCCCGCTCCGCGCCCACGTCTGGGTCCGCCCCGATGTCACGGACGACCTCGTCGAACCTCAGGGCCATCGCCTGCCTCTGCTGCTCCATCCACGCTGGCGGAGGCCGACCAGAGGGAGCCGGGCTAGGTTTAGGTCGGGCCTGTCCCCCTACAGGTGGATTCTGGGCAAAAAGTATAAAGTACCCCAAACAGATTCCAAACTAGTCAAACAATAAATGGAAAATCGTCCCCAGAGTGTTTTTGAATATTCCTCATGTAGGGGGCACGCCCGACTTAAGGCTAGATGGGGTCGGAAGATCGCACCGCAGCGGCGATGCATCGGCGATGTATCGCCATCCAATCTCCGCCTTCCGCACCTTCCGCGCGGCAAGTGCTGCGCCGAATGGATGGAGGGTGCGGAAGGTGGATGTCGAGAGACCAGCGCGTCGAGACGAAGAAATTCAGCTCAGGATTGCGCCGCATCGCCGATGCATCTGCGATGCGGCGCGATCCTCCGATCCCCTCCACTCCGGAGGTCCAGAAGGTCTGCAGAGGTTACATATTCAAAGAGATCCCAGGAGGGGTGGAGGCGAATAAAGCCCCCAGAAGCCTCAGAAGGCCTCTTGGGGCCCGAATGATATCAGTAACCATCCAAAATAATACATTCATCTACGTGTAGATGTCTGCGGATTTATGTATATACACATATGGCCTGACCCCTGGAGATGTGATCGGTTGAATCCGCTGAAATCGGCACCACTTCCCTGGGATTGTTCCAAATGATCCAGAAATAATAAAAAAAAAAATCGTCCTCATCTATTTTTGGCATAAACTTTGATATTCCTCCTCTAGAGGGACCTGCCCGACGTACAACTAGGGTCCTCGATCTGACCCGCTCGGGAAA